ACTTTCCCCCCCCCCCCCCACCAAAAACAAAATCCGAGGCATGTTGGTATTGGCGAGCAACGCTTCCCCGGGCCGGTGCGAAGCCCCTGACCCACAGGCGTGAAGGACCAGCCGCCCGCCTGGACTTACTCACCCTCCAGTTTGAGCAGGGAATCGTAGATCTTGCACTGCATCTGCCCCGTGCTCTGCATGACACAGGACATCCACAGCCCCTCGTAGATGGCTTGAGCGGTCACGATGTTGTCCCCGGCGTACGAAGACATTTTCCACTGGGGCAAGGAGGTGCTGATGATGATGCCGATCCAGCCTCTGAACCCCAGCACCAAGCCCAGCAGCTGCAGAGCTCCGCTGGCCATCTCGGCGGACACCGGCTCGCAGCGAGCTTCCAAAAACCTCCGGAGGTCCTAGACCTGACCCTGAGCGTCGGGGAGCCCTGCTGCTGAAACTGACCGGCCCGTTGCCCACCTAGAAAGAGCAGCAGCAATGCCCCCTGCCTACAGACAGTCTCTCCCTGCCTTTATAATCCAGGAGCAAGACTAGTGCCGGCTGAGCAGTCACTCGAATGAAGGGCTGAGCCCGGCTGGGTCTCAATTTAAAGTCGAGTCTTCGGGGCGCCCCCTAGTGGTTTCACCTGAACTCCCAGCTAGAAACTTGGGATCCCTCCGAAAGGATGAAGTCAGTCGTCAGGCCGAGAGGTGACTAAAGCGGCCCAGAGCGATCGCGCGTCCAGGTCACCGCGGCGATACTGGGCGCTGCCAGACCAGCGGGCTTCAGACTTTTCGCTCATAACCCAGTGGAAGAAAATTGTTGATTCCCACGACCCAACAGAATGGGACTGGAGTGGGGGCTCCGGGGTGGGGCTGGGGATGGAGCTTTGGGGTGCCTTAGCCCCTCCCACCGCTCACCTGAACCCCCTGCAGCCACGAGCCCCAGCGCCCGACACCCCTCCCCAGTGCTGGGTTGCAACCCCTGGTTTGCAAACCACTGGAGCAGGGGGCTCCCAGCCAGTGGGAGTGCAGAACTAGTGCTCGGGGCAGGGGCAGTGTGGGGAGCCCTGTGCGCTCTCCCTTCCCCTCTGCTCCCCCCCGACACACACACCTAGGAGCCGGGCCTGCTGCGACCGCTTCTGGGGTGCAGCGCAGTCTGTGGTGCCAGGACAGGCAGGGAGCTGCCTTAGCCCCTTCACTGCTCACCTGATCCCCCTCCAGCCACGAGCCCCAGTGCCCGACATCCACGACCTGGTACTGGGTTGTGACCTGACATTTTCAAACTGGGCTAGAGCACCCTCCATCTGAGAATCTCCAAGATCTTTGTAGGTATTGGCCAATTCAGGCACACGCCACTCGGGAATGCATGGAGGTGCACGTTTCACAGCTCAAGGTGGATTTAAAGGCAGACAAACTCAGTATTGGTGATGGTTTGCAATCAGTGTTCCTGCTAATCTCTTCTACCCATGTGCAGAATAATTTTTTCTACGCGCACTGAGGCCTGTGCAAATGTGCACCACCAGTAGGAACAGAAATGTAGCTGGGCACTCTGCTGATCTCCTGGATGGCCCTGGAATCTCTCCTGAGTGGCCGCCCAAGTGCACAGCTGATAGGGAACCCTGTTTGCAATATGCATTCAAAGTAATAGACTCTCTGGCGGGCCCCACAAATGCACTCCAACCTGAGGCCATAGGGGCTTTGCAGGCATTGACAGTGACTTACTGAGGAGTCTTGGGTCAGTCACTTCACCTGCCCTTGCCTCAGTTCCCTCCCCCCAACCCATGTGTAATGAAGTAGGGAGGGCCTGGCAGTGAGGGCTGCCTCTGAGATCTATTTGAACACAATCTGGCATGAGAATTAAAAATAAAAGATGCAGCCACAAACAAGTTACCCAAACAGCCCAGCAAGCACCCGTCAATCGTCAGTCCAAACATCCTTCCGAGAACCTAAATCTGTGGATGCGAAGCTGTGAACTCAGCATTCAATGAAGCAGGTCAAGCAGACAGATCCAAAGTTTGATTATTCAGTGCTCTGCAATTAGCACAGTTATTCGGTTTGCCTTGAAATTGTGTGGGCCTCACGGGGGCTCAATCAGTCCAGACTGATGCTCCAAGACCTTGATAGGAAGGGACCCTGGATTGGTAAATAGAACATCGATTGGTGGCACTTTGTGTGCATGTGTGTGTCTGCTTTACTACTGTATCTTATTAATGTTTCCGAAAGGTTTTGTTTGTTTGTCTCAAAAGATTTCCGAAACGGTAAGAGCTAGAAAGACCAAATTTTGTACGGATACTACTGATTTCCTAAGTTCAGTCACTGGATTGGTTATAGCTCGAAATCGGTTCCCCCAGACCCCAACTGGGCCACTAATTAGCTTTAAGTAGCACTTGATCATAGGCATATGCTGGACTCTTCTTTTAAGCGTGTCACATTAACTGCAACTATGAGATCCTTTCCCTATGATAACAGAAAAAGTACTAGGTTTGTTAATTCCTTACAGAAATATATCAGAGAAAAGTATTTCCAATAAAATATGTGATGTTAACGTTATTGACGTAGTTCACTTATCACACCTTTTACTAGATTTTCCCCGGGCGATGCTGGGTATTTCTGTTAGTTCTGAATAAAGCCGGCATATTGCCTTTTCCCCTAAAGAAATCCTGTGTGCTTCTTATAAGCCTGACTCTCATGGGGGAAAGAGGTTTGTGTCCTGGAAAATTCCACCGGCGCAGGATGGCGGAAGGGGGTGTAGCGTGAGCGCTCGTGAGCAGCGCTTTTCACCAGAACGTCTCCAAAGCTCTATGCAAGAAGAAAACCGTTGTTTCTCCTGCCCCGTGGGACAAAGAGGTTTAATCATTTGCAAACCCCAAGCTTCCCAGCCCCTCACACTGTTTAGCTACCTGCCCATAACATGCCCCGTGTCTGAGTGCTAATCTGGGAACCGACCGATTCGGACCCAAAGATGGGTTCATCCTTAACATCAGAGCAAAACACAGAGAGCCAAACCCACTGGGAGAATGCAAGCATCAACTCTGGAAAAACGTGTTTGCTCTCGCAGACCCATGGCTGAAGATTGAATGTCCCGGCGGAGGCTGCCTGAATCCACCTCCGCCAGTCCGCAGGAACGACCAGACTGTCCGGCTGGAGTAATTCCGCCGCCTGGAGATATCCGAGCAGTGGAAGGCGCTGTGTGAGCCGAGCAGGAGCGGGCTGGCTTTCCCAGCGGGGACACATTCTGAGGAGTGGCAGGATTTTGCGGAGATGTTTGCAGGAACCCCAAGCCACTTTGTGATAACCTGGTCTGCATTGCACCGTTCCACAGGGACTACAAGGGAGAAAATACGAGGGCAAAGGTAAAGCAAGTCTGGGTTGGTAGGAAAACACCTGCCCCGTTGGTCCAAAGGGCCGGACAGCTGCCTTTCTGTTACGAAAAGAAGCAAAACACCTTTAGGAGGCTGCTTAAGGGGAATAACAGGAAGATCAAGACAGGGCTTAGGATAAGCGTGCAAAGGAGACAGAGACTCTACCCATGAGTCTGCAGCTGTGTGGTTTCTGTTGGGAGGCAGGGGTCCTCCATGCACTCCAGATTACAGGAGATTTGGGAGGATTTAAGAACATCAGAACAGTCAGATTGGGTCAAACCAAAGTCGATCCAGCCCAGTGTCCTGTCCCCCGACAGTGGCCGATGCCAGATGCCCCAGAGGGAGTGAACAGAACAGAGGATCGTCATGTGATCCCTCCCCTGTCGCCCATTTCCCAGCCTCTGACAAACAGAGGCTAAGGACATACTCCTGCCCATCCTGCCCATAATAAGTATCGATGGACCTAACCTCCATGAATGTATCTAGTTCTTTTTTGAACCCTGTTGAAATCCTGGTCTTCACAATATCCTCTGGCAAGGAGTTCCACAGGTTGACTGTGCACTGCATGAAGAAAACCTCTCTTTGGTTTGCCTTAAATCTGCTACCTATTCATTTCATTTGGTGGCCCCTAGTTATGTCATGTCATGGAAACAAGGAAATAACTTTTCTTTATTCACTTTCTCCACACCTGCCATGACTGTATAGACCTCTATCCTATCCCCCCTTAATCGCCTCTTTTCTAAGCTGAAAAGTCCCAGTCTTTTAATCTCTCTTCATAGGGCAGCTGCGCCAAACTCCTCTTCATTTTTGTTGCTCTTTTCTGAATCTTTTCCAGCAGGGCAGGCAACAGTTGCTCTGGGAGGGTGGGATGAGTAGATGCATCGGGATGCAGATCCCTTGGTCGCCCCTTTCCTAGGATGGGTGCACTGGAGGGGCAGTGGCTACTGCTGCTGCTCCTCATTCCGGTGGGAGGAATCCATCCTGCTTAGCACACAGACCCCCAGTGCACGGGGCAGACACAGAGGCTGCGGCGGAGTGAGAGGGGTGTAACCCTTGATGTTTAACTCGCTGCTTCGATTCGTTTGGACATCAGCCATGTGGCCGGTCGCACCAAGCCGGGTCGCCCTGGATCTCCAGCCCCAGAGTCACCCCTGGCACCGGCCAGCCCCACACCGCTGACTCCAGCGGTGACTGCGGCTGGAGAAATGCAAACACCAGAGGCGCCTCGGGCAGGCTTGGTGCATTTGGGGCCAGGGCTGAGCAGGGCAGCCGAGCGTGGAGTCCACAGAGCCCAGGCCTGGAGGGACCCGGTCTCCGAGGGGTGAGCCAGCCAGGCACGTCCGGATCGCCGGGTGCGCCTGGGAGAAGCCTGCAGGTGCACAAGAGACCGAGTCTCTGCAGGCCGTGGGTGCGGGTCGCTTGCCAGGATTACCTGGGTGTAGCTCGTCTAATTACGTCCTTGCCACTGCGCGCCCTCTGGCGCCGGCGCACCTCCGTCGCCCCGGGGCAGGCGATAAGCCAGTCTCCCCCAGGCTCTGGGTTGATGCTGGTGGCCAGGGTTAGCGGGCAGCTCTGCAGGGCCTTGGTGGCCTGTGGCACACAGAAGGCCAGACCCTGTGGTCGGGTGGTGGCTCGTCACCCCCTACTCTAGGACTCACGTTACTGCACTGGGATGGGCCTGGCCCTACTCCGGCGTTCAGCTGCGTGTTGCCGTAGCGCATCTCTTGGAGCGTCGGTTTATTGCTCGTTCAATCTTTACTCCCCTGGTGTCGGGGGGCATCATGTGGGATTAGAACATGGGCCGGGGTTTAGGGACGTCAGCGGTGAACCTTGGAATCAGAGACTCAGACTCTGAGGGCGGGAAGAGACCTCAGGAGTCATCAAGACCAACCCCCGGCCCAGAGCAGGACCAACCCAACTCAATCAGCCCAGCCAGGGCTTGGTCAAGCCGGGACTGAAACACCTCTAGGGATGGAGATTCCACCCCCTGCCTAGGGAACCCAGCCCAGCGCTTCCCCATCCACCTAGGGAAATAGTTTTTCCTAACATCCAACCTAGACCTGCCCCACTGTAACTTGAGCCCATTGCTCCTCATTCTGCCCCCCTGAGAACAGCCTCTCTCCAGCCTCTTTGGAGCCCCCCTGCAGGGAGTTGCAGGCTGCTCTCAAATCCCCCCTCACCCTTCTCTTCTGCAGACTAAACAAGCCCAAATGCCTCAGCCTCTCCTCATAGG